GCTGCTGCTGCTGCTGCATGGCTACGACCTGTTGCTGCTGCAAAATCGGCCGCTGTTGCATTTGCTGCTGCTGTTGTTGTTGTTGCTGTTGTTGGAGCTGGGAGAGTTGATTCTGCATGTTAACACCTTGACCAAGCTGCATGTTTGTCTGGGGTGCAGCGGCATTTACCCCCACAGGTTGGCCACCCATTGGTCCTGGCCCTCCCTGTGGTCCAGCAGGGCCACCCTGGCCCCCTTTATACTTGTGAACGCGCTGCTTGATAAATGCTGCCATCAGTTGTGGACTTGAGCGAAGGATGTTGAGGACTTGCTGTTGCTGTAGAGGAGAGCTGGGAGATCGTAGCGTCCGCAAAAGATCCTGTAGGGCACCTTGAGGCAAATTACTAGCTGCTGCCCCACTTACTACACCACTTTGCAGACCAGCCTGGACCATACTCATCAGGGCATTTCGATTTGGCAATTGGGACATTTGTGGAGCTTGCGGCTGCTGCATTTGTTGCGCTGCTTGTTGCTGTTGTGGTTGGGACTGCATTGCAACCATTCCTGGCTGAGCCATCATGCCAGATCTCTGTTGAGTTGGCACGCCTTGCCCCGACCACTGCTGCTGCTGTGGCTGAAGGGGTGGGTTCATTCTCGGCTGCTGCGGGTGCATTTGGGGTGGCATCTGGCCTTGAACACCAGCCTGTTGAGGCTGCTGCATGGGTCCCGGTCCCACCCTCATTCCCTGAGGTCCTTGTTGCTGCTCCATCTGTACTCTGTTTGCTGCCATCTGTGGTTGAGGGGTTAATCCTTGTTGCCCGACCATGCCGATCCCAGGGTGTGCCACGCCCATTTGTCCCTGTGGCTGCTGATGGTGCTGCGGAATCGTTCCAGGTTGTGCCGTTTGTCTCTGAAGCAACTGGACCTGTGCCATCTTCCGCTGAGCATCTGCCACTTGTTGGATCTTCATGGCGATCTCCACAGCTGCTGCTGGTGGACCTCCTGAAGCTTGCTGGTGCTGGGACATTGGTCCTGCACCTGGCATGCTTGGGAGCTGTGGAGGAGTTGCAGGCCCTAGGCCTGGTTTACCCTGGGACTGTGGGTTGGGAGACTGTCCGGTCTGATGAGAGACATACTGATTGTGTGGATGCGGGACATGTCCCAAAGGTTGCTGAGAAACCATTTGTTGCTGCGGTGAGGTAATCATGCCTCCTCCACCAGGCATCTGCTGAAACTGGTGGTGGCCGGGGTGCTGAGGCACCTGCTGGGAAGCTCCAGGCTGGGACATGGAGCTCATATTAGGTGTTAGCTGTGTGGGCGTTTGGGGTGTTGGAGGCTGGGTACCAACTGATGTAGGGGTGCTGGGACCCGTGGTCCCATTATGGCCAGGTGATGGAAGACCTCCAGGAGGTCCACCTCCACATGGTGGTGGCTGCCCTGCTCGCTGCATGGTAGCCATCCGCCTCCGAAGCATTTGCGCCTGCTGAAGCCTGTGCTGCAGCTGCTGCTGTCGAAGCTTGTGCTTGATGTTGAGGCAGAAGGGCACGGGACATTTGTTTTCTTGACAGTGTTTGGCATGATAGCAACAAAGAGCGATGAGCTGCTTGCAGATGGGACAGCCGCCATTGGTTTTCCGCTTGCAGCTTTTGGTGTGCTGCACAACTCTTTTCATCTTCTGGCACGAAGGCAGAGAGCAGTTAGCATTGCGGCACTGGCATGCATGGACCAGTGACTGGATGCAGCGCTGGATGCTGAGACGACGGGAGTCTCCCGGGTTCTGAGTGGAGGCTGCCGCTTGGTTGCTGCTCTCGTCATCAAGACCCAGTCCAAGTTTCTCCATCTTGTGCTCATGGCCTTTAGTGTTGTAGCAGGTGATGCAAAGATCATAATCCTGCAAAAAAAAGGTCAGCGTTAACAAATGATCAAGCTCATTTTTATTTATCGTGCAACTAACCGATTTATTGTCTATCGCGACAGGCCTAGATATAATACAGCATTTGTAGTACATTCCACCTGCCATGCCTTACCTCACAAACCGTGCAGTGAAAGCGTGTCTCGACGTGGTGCTTGCATTCATTGCACGTGTAGACGAAGCGGTCCTGGCTCTGATTGTGCAGTTCTACTAACATACACATGGAGCTCCATTTGGCCCGCCTCAAAGAGCTGAATTCCAGATGCTTGTCTCGTGCTAGAGTAAGGAAAGCGTCTCGCCCGTCCATCAAATCACAAGCCATCAGGGAGTCGGGGTCAAGAATGGGTGGGAGGGAATTGGCCGAAGGTCCAGCAATGAGACGGATGACAAAGAAAACCTTAAGCAGAGCATTTTTGAGTTAGATCCAAGCATGTTATTGACATGAGAACTGCTTTTCGAGAGAAACTTACCTCTTTGTGTTTCTCCATTGTTGCGTATAGTTTCTGAGAAAGATCATTGGAGACATTTGGCATCCCTGGTTTCTTTTTATTAGCCCGGCTCAAGCTGCTTTTGTTCTTGCTCGTCTTCTTGTTGTTCTTCTTTTTGGCATTCTTGCTATCGCCGCTGGTCGCCTAGAGGGTCAAAACATTTCCATTTACTAAGACAATGAATGAGTTCTAGAAGGAATACTAAAGTATCTGCTTAGAGGGACAATTTTAAGTGCATCTATTGTTGAACTGAATGTGAATCATTTACATCGATGCTCTCGCTCGAGGTATTGTTCTCTTCTCTTTTTCGTTCTTCTTCCTCTTGCTCCAGCTCTTTGATGCTCTCCTCCAAAACATTAGGCCAAAAATCCCCCTCAAAATATGGGAGCTCCTTTGCACTCGTCAGGCGATCCTCTGTCGCTTGTTTAAAAATGTCCTGGTGAGAAGAAACATTCAGTAAGGGACAGTCACATGGTCATCAAAGGAAAAGTACATTATTAAAGAGCTGGAAAATATCTCAAGGATAAACTTCTATTATCCGTATAGGTTCCAAAAGAAATTTTAAAAATGTAGTTATTCTGATTTATTGGGAAATGTGTTACATTGTAGGGTGTTGCTATTTATTTTGGTTATATTTATTTGTTTAAGTAAACAAAACAAAAAAACAGGTTTATCAGCAAAGCCCAGCTCCTCCTTTATGTTAAACGCTTCAATCTGATAAGTGCCAATCAGGAGTGAGAACGCTGACTAGATGGCCAATCAGAGCCGCCATTCTTTGCCATGTAACGGCTGCAACATGACAGCTGAAAACCTCAAAAAGCGATTTATTTAAGCAACAAACAAGGTGTTGATAATTTATTGAATCGTTTATTTGCTGCTCTCATTGTAGACCTGGGCGAAAAATCCCCAAATCGATTACTTTGAGTTTTTAAACCGTAGTTGGATTAGCCCCGGCGCTAACGTTAGCAATCAGCGCTAATTTAAGCTTCCTAAACAAAGCAACAAAACATAAATTAAAGAGCTATATTGTACGGAATGTGTTTGTTTTCAGTTATTTTTGTTATGGAATGGCAATGTTGTCTTTAAAGGGTATTATGTTCATATCAACACGTTTTATAAACATTGTGAAACGCTGTTTACTTCAGCTTTTTAAAAGGAAGACCTTTTTCTAAAATAGATTTTAAAGGAACGTGCCAAAAAGGGCAAAATAAGGCACTGTTTAGACACATTAGATTATCAGATAAAACATGACAGACTTTTATCGGTATTTATATAAATAACTATTTTATTTACTTTGAAATAACTAAATATGTTTCAACAAACTATACACAAGTTTTATGCATAGATTGATCACAAACTATGAGTTGAATCTCAAAAAAAAACTTCCTAGGTTAATTTATGAGTTTAGTTTTTGTATTATGATTTATATAAACCCTCTTAGAACGCAGATAGAATCTTCCAAAGAAACAAAATTACATGTTATACAAAATTGCAATACCTTGTAGTCGTGAACTATTCTCTCTGCAACTGCTTTGTCAAGCATCTTCTTGTACCACTCTTGTAAGCGTTTGGGTTTGGGAATCTTCTGATCCGAAGGATGGCAGTGGAAAATGTAGTCGTCACCTTCGCTCGGAGGACAAGCCCAGATGTGACCAGTGACGAAACCCATTTTTTTAACATACTCCAGGTATCCGATGAGGATCTCATGATAGACTCCCGTTCTCAGGTGACGGGGTTGGAAAAAGTGCACACTGTCGAGGTAGGAGATGTAAACTCGTCTGCAGGAGAAGAGAGACGGTCAGATACTGTCTGCTCTTATATGACAGAGACGGGGAATTCTGTGAAATTTGTAACCTTTGATTGGGAGGAGGGCAGTCAGAGCCGTATTCTTGCACATGCATCCCGAAAAAGCACACATCTGTTCCATCAATCTCCTCAAATGCAAACAGAGCTTTCGTCCTGTACGGGAATGACTCCGACATCTCGCCGCTGTCAACAAATCTGGAGAGAAAACAGAGAAATTATTTCACCTGAATTGTAACGCACCACACAAAGGGACAAATGTACTTCTATGTATTACACAGGATTCAATTGAGAAAAATACTTTATATAAAGTTTTCACATTTTCATGAATTCGTGTACTAAATTTAAAAACTTAGACCAACTTCAAAACAACAAAATTACCACACTGAGGAATGTGACATGTCCCCAAAAGTGATGTTAACAAATTCCACAATGTTGAAGTAAGGCCTTAATATAATTTCAACATCTGAAGTTTTCATTTTAAATTTGATCTCTAAGTAAAACTCCACTTTTTTGGACATTGACTATAAAAAGTCGTGTTTGGATTCTTATCAGCTTTTCTCCAGATCTGGCTATTTTAGCATTAGCTTAGCATAGATTATTGATTCTGATCATACCGGTTAATAATGAAGGCCTTCAATTTATATAGGACGACCAACTCCACCACTTTGTGCGCAGGGTTCCCATTTACACTTTGATTCTTTATAAGTTATCCAAATACACTCATTCGTGCACAATACATTTACATTCCTGAATTTAACAGATGCCTTGATCCAAAACTTACAATGCAGCGACTAACATTTGCACAAATGAACACATTTTGCCCTGGGATTTGAACCCACAACCTTTGCGCTGTCCGCGTAATGCTCTACCAACTGAGCCACAGGAAATCAATATAACATTAACAAATTCAATGTTAGATCAATGACCACAATCCGCTGCATTAATGGAACAAAACCAGTTAGTACCAATCACAGGGAATACTTCACTTTTTTTAATACACCGTGTGGGCTCAACATGACTGCAGCAGGGGGAAAGGATAAAACAAAGTTCCTAACAATATGAGCCTGGTAAAATTGCACCTATAGAAAGAGTTTGAAACTGAGAAGCTAATGGTCCAACTGAAATCAATAATCTATGCTAAGCTAAGCAGACGGATGACTGGAGTGGATGAATATTGTAAAGACAAAGGTGAGACAGATATTAAACATTCAGAATACAGATTTGACATATAGATTTGACATTTTTTGTCTTTGATCATTAATAACGGCAATGTCAATAAATATGTGTAGATTCACCGATGACCTGTTCTTCCCCTGAAAAGCACCCAACTCCAGTCTCTCTCTCAGGAAGTAAACAGGTGATAAAGTGCCACCCAACATCATTTATTAATAATTTGTGCACACCTTCGAAATTAATCTTTTGATTCTTCCTCGTCTCGAAAGCTGGCTAGTCTGTAACTCGGGATATCGTCCTTCAAAGAAGTTTTGTGATGCTTCAAATGTGATTCACGAAGTAGAGAAGCTTTTGTTGAAGCTCGCCATCCTTCATTTTCCAAACACTCACACACTCCTCACCTCGACTTCATTCCAGGTTTAACCTCCACCACTTTATCCGACACGTGCACCACGCGGATGGTGACTTCACCCACTTCAGGGTGACTCTGGCGCTTCAGGAACTCATTCACCCGTGTCTCCAGGTAGTAACCAAGCTTTGTTTGAGGAAGCCCTGGAACCATGAAAACAAAGCCCATGTTTTTGAACATTTCTCAATAGAGTTTTTGAGCTGATGCGTTGACTGTAGACAATTATTATAGCAATTAATCACACAAGCTTTGAGAAGGGAGTGTTCAAACAACCTTTCTTTACACAGTAATACTCTCCTCGTTTAGACACTTCAAATGTCTATGAACATCATGGAATGGGCTTCTGCAACTGTTTATTTTTATTTTTTTGCCAATTTTACAATGATGAATTTTAATTTGGGCAAAGTTTTTCCTCAGTTTGTCTTCCGGGCTCTAGATGCACATTTTCCTCCCGTTTCTTTTGAGAACATGCTGCGTTCATCTTCCATCAATTTTGAGCGTTTTGCTTTTGGAGCTCACACATTCCCAGAACATAAGCGACCCAACTCCATGTTTCACCGCGGCGATGCCGTTCCGTTCTTGTTTACTTCTCTCCAATGGGTGCTTTTATGGTTCTTATATTTTGGTCCCATGGCGCTAAATAACATCTCTGAGCTGTAAGCAGGCTACTTTTTTTACATAGATCCTTTAACTTTCTCCATTGCTCAGAATTCAGAAAGTTTCTGTTATTGCAATTTAAAAAAAGTCAATAAATGGCTTCACCCATCCACTGCCATCATTGATATTTTCTGAAAAATGGCCAAGAAATCAGATTATTTGTGGGGGTATGTAAACTTATGAGCCCGGCTAAGCCCCTACTGTTTGATGTCTCAAGACCAAGCAGGTCCTGACTTAAAATCCACAATTCAGTTGTCATTGGGCTAATACGGGGGTCGGCAACCCGCGGCTCTAGAGCCGCATGAAGCTCTTTAGCGCTACCCAGTGGCTATTTGAAATTTGTTTGAAAATGGAAAAATATGAGGGAAGGAAATATATTTTTTTTGTTTTAGTATAGTTTCTGTAGGAGGACAAACACGACACAAACATTCTTAACGTTTTTCCACTGCTGTAAAAATGTGTAGAATAAATATTAAAATTCAACATTTCTGTCAACGAAGGTTTGCGTCATAGCTTGCGACACACGTTTCTATCGGCAGAACGGGACGCCAGGCAGGCGGCTGCGTGATGGGCCATGGACACATGGAATGCTCTTCCTGACAGTTATAGGAACTTGAAGACATATGCATTTGGAGTGTTATCCATCTTTGGATCAACATACCTCTGCGAGCAGATATTCTCAAACATGAACTACATCAAATCAAAATATAGGAGCTTGCAGTCCTGCGTCAAGATTAAAGTTACATCTTACAGGGCCGATGTTGAGAAGCTGAGCAGTGATGTCCGAAAACAGAAGTCACATTAAACGGGTAAGAGCACAATCCTGTCATAGGCACATATTTAGTAACAAAGTAGCTCTTTTTATGAAGTGATTTCTGATTTTTGTCAGTATATATTTGGAGTGCCCTGGACCGGAGGCTACCCATGCAAACATCATTAATAGCATTGGTGTAAATAATCTAATTTCTGCGGAAATAAGTTCGTCTTTTTCCCATACATTTGTACAGGGCAGAAATCGTTCTGCGCCAGTATCTTGGTGCGATTGCCGCTTCAATCCGCCCGCCATGTGAGAATTGGTTCATTCATAAATGTGGTTTTGAGACCAGTTTTGTGTTACAAACCCGATTCCAATAAACTTGGCGCACTGAACAAATTGTGAACAAAAATAGAATGCAATAATTAGCATAAACATATATTTTATTCACAATAGAATATAGATAACATGTTGAAAGTGAGACATTTTGAAATGTCATGCCAAATATTTTGGATTTCATGAGAGCTACACATTGACGGGTAGCTATACGAGGGCAGAAAAGTTAAACGTATACATACGAAACAGCAGGAGGACAGATATGCAAATTATTAGGTCAAAAAGGCTCTTTTTATACCCAGTGTCTCTCAGATGTCAAGATGGGAAGATGATCACCACTTTCAGCAATATCAGAAAAAGAGTTTGAATCATCATCATCATCTACAGTGCTTCAGAGAATCCAGAGTGTGTAAGGGTCAAGGCCAGATAACCATACAGGATGCCCGTGATCTTCGGGTTCTTAGACTGCACTGCATCCCTTACAGGAATGCTACGGTCATGGAATTCACAACATGGGCTTAGGAATACTGTACTTCCAAAAAACATTGTCGGTGAACACAATCCACCGTGCCATTCCCGTTGCCGGCTAAAACTCTGTAGGTTGAAAAAAGAAGAAAGAAAATCTAAACATGATCCAGAGGCGCAGGCGTTTTCTCTGGGCCAAGGCTCATTTAAAATGTGGCAAAGTGGAAAACTGGTCTGTAGTCAGACGAAATCAAGATTTGAAGTTCTTTTTAAATCTGGGACACCATGTCATCTGGACTAAAGAGGACAAGGACAACCCAAGTTTTTATTAGCGCTGCATCTCTGATGGTATGGGGTGCATGACATCTGGAAAGGCTGAAAGGTAAATCCAAGTTCTAGAACAAGAAGCTCCCATCCAGACGTCGTTTCTTTCAGGGAAGACCTTGAATTTTCCAACATGACAATGCCAGACCACATACATCATGGCTGCGTAGAAGAAGGGTTCGGGTAATAAAATGGCAGCATGCAGTCCAGATCTTTCACCCATGGAGAATATTTGGTGCATCATGAAGAGGAAGAGGCGTCAAAGAAGACCCAGGACAGTTGAGCAACTAAAGCAAAGAATGGGACAACATTCCTTTTACGCAACTTCTCTCCTCAGTCCCCAGACGTTTGCAGACTGGGGATGCCACAGGGTTGTAAACATGGTCCCAACTTTTTTTTGATGTCTTGATGCCATGAACATATTTTTCCCTTAAAATGATATGTGTCCTCAGTTTAAACATTTAATGTGTCATCCAAGTTGTATTCTGAACAAAAGACCATTTGTGCAGCGTCCCATTTTCTCAGAACCGGGTTAGACGTTAATTAAACAGAATGGTGACTGAGCTCATAAACATATTTGGGAATGGGTCAAGATTTAATCACTTACTCTTTGCAGCGTATTTATTCTCTTTTCTTGTGGCATTGGATTTCTTCAGACAGCCGTTGCAGATAAACCTGGGATAGATGGGGAAAACACAGTTTAAGGGGATTTGTTAATAGAGCTTAAAGGTGGCATTATATAAACAAAAACCCAATGGCGAAAGAGGTGGAGCCCAAAAGCCTGTATTGGGAGCATAAATCACATGGATGGTTCACAAATGGGCTAATAAATCGAATAAAAGGGATTATTTACTTGAATAAGTCCATAAAAAAATATAGATGATTTGAAGCAAAAACAAAAATGCAGGTTTAGCCCCATAATGAAGTTTGTAGACGGTGCCAACCCCCTCTCTCTCCAGCATCACTTCCTGTGTCCCTCCACTGTCCTATCCTTAACAAAAAAGCATTTTCCTTAAAAAAAATGATAATTATAATTATGGGCGGAGTCTGGCTATCTAAGCTCCTCTTTGACCAGTGGTGCAGTGAAAACAAGCCATCAATCATGTGGTTATGCATAATTAAAAAAAATAAATAAATAAAAAATAGACATCCTTTTAAAAAACTGAACACTCTTGTTGTTTCAGGGCTGCATATGAACTTGCAGTGAATCAGAGGAAGAAAAAAAAAACAAAGATGAGGTTTTGCTCTACGTTTGCGGGCAACGTGAAGAAAGGATGAATTCTCTTGAAAGTCAACAAAGAGCGATGCATGCTCACCCCGACGGCCATATTGTCTCATTGTGTAGAACGCATATCTGGTGCATTTTCCGTCCGCAGTCGCCGCATTCCATAAGCCTGAGGAGAAACAGCAGGAAACAAAGATGACGACACTCCACTGTGAACAACTGAGCGGTTGATGTGAGGAGCGCACGTACAGCTCGGGGTCCAGAGTGTCGTTCTTCTTCCTTTGAAACTGATCTTTATTGATGGAGCTGAACAAAGAAAGTCAGAAAATTACATGTAGATTTCTAATTGTAAACAAAACAATGAGGACTGCTTGAATATACATAACATTTATTTGATTAATTGATATTTTTCATTTAAACAATTACAGGGATATAGCTATAAAATTACGTGTGAAAACATTTTAAAAGAAAATATAACATTTATCGGAAGTATACATGTATAATATAAAATAATGAAACACATGTAATTTTAGTTGCTTCATTA